TAAGTTGTGGAAGCAACCCAAATGTCCATCCACCAAGAATTGGAATAGAAAATTGTGGTGCTTTTATAGAATGGACTATTACTCAGCTATAAAGAAAGATAAACTCGAGGCCTTTATAGGTAAATGGTCACAACTAGAAACCACACTCATAAGTGAAATAAATCAGACCTGCATGTGCAAGCACCGCAGTTTCACTAGTGTAAAACCTGAAAGAGTTAATTGAAACTTGGAGGTATGATAGACATTGTGAAATGATAGGAAAACACTCAAGGGTAAAGGGCAACTGGGATGTGGGAAAAGAGAAGAGAAATAAGGAGAAATTTTGTATGTATGTATATACAAGATAGCTAACATAGTTGTTCTACTGTCTTCTATTTCTTTGCTGAAAGAAACTGTCAGTGAATCCTTGAGTGATCAGTATTGCATGTCTCTATCTGTATTCATGAGAAACCACTTTGAAGACATCAGTATGTAATACAAGAAGCATTGTTAATTTCCTACCACTGTGTTTGTAACTCTGTATTGTCTGTACTGTTCTTTTGCTATTTTGTAAAATGTTGTCTGTCTGTTAATGTTTTCCTCCTTTTATTTTTAACATAAAAATAAAAAAATAAAGGACAAGAATGCCTGCTCAGGAGTCTTGAGCTTAGAAGCTTGAATGGTCTGGGCCTACAAGGTCCCTCCCTTGCCCCCTCCTGCTACAACCTAACCATCCTGAGCTTTCAGCACTGATAAGTACGAGGAAAGTTGGCAGGGGATCTCTGGGAAACTGACTGATTGAAATCAGAAACTTAGTATCAAAAAATAAACTGTTTGGGAAAGGTAGCCTATGCCACCTCTACTCACAGTTCAGCTGACTCTTGGAGGTAGTTGTTGTCATGTTGTGCATAAAGGAAACAGGACAACAGGAAACTACACAAGTAAAATTCACCCTTTTTAGCACAGTTTTCAGACTTTTGAAAATGTAGTCATGTATTTAGACCACTGCCACTGCCCCAAGGAAACTTTCTCAGTATTGTGGCACAGCATGCAGTGAATAAACCCTTTTTTCTCCCTTTACCAGGCTAACCTCACCCAGCTGGCACTGTAATTAGACAACTTGTGTAAGGGTACATAACACAGTCTTTCCTCTTTTTCTGTAAGACACTCACCTTCAATGACTTCAGAGGTGGTTCACAAAGCTTGTCACTGTCTATACACCTCCTTTTCACCTTTTTCATAATTTGCAGAACTCCATGCAGGTGAATCACCAATTTCCAGCCAGAGCATGCTATAAAGAGTAGCAAGACCTTTCCAGTCACAGGAATGAGGGTTCAACCGGTGATCAACACAGTGCAACAAGTCTGGTCCAACAGGGTCTCTGACCTCACCAAGACTGTATTCACCCTCCTTCCAAAGCACTTACTCATTGACATCAGGAGGGGAGCAAAAGGTGAAATGGCAACCTTGAACTGCACATACCACCCATCCCCAGTATAAACAAGTAGACTACTACTGTTGCATATGGTTCTCTGAATATTCCCTTTATCGCTACGTAGGCTAACTAGCCCTCATCTGAGCTGTCCACTGAGTAGGAGATGACTTGCTTACCAGGTGGACTGGGGTGAGACAGAGTGACAGGTTTGTGATCACTGCATAACTCTGAATATGCTAATAGCCAGAGAATTACACACTTGCAAGTAGGGAGTTGTCTGCATGTGGATTCCATCTCAATGAGAGCATTATTGAAAATAAAAAACTATGAGGCCAAAATCATCTAGATTATCAGTTTTTTGGGTCACATCCTGAGGTGTGCTGGACACTGATTTTTTAAAGGACAAATTTTGTTTCATGTAGGCCTAGCATATGTATTTATATAGGTGTGGGGTGGCCATTGGGTTCTTTAATTTTCACTAAAAATTTCCAATCCAAAAATTATTGCCAGAGTAAGGAACACATTATGAACATTCCACTTGGTGCAGTATTTGTTGCTGCCAGGCACCTATAAAAACTATCGACAAAATATGTCAGATGATAGATATCCCAACCACCCTGATCTGATCATTGCACATATATATCCATTAAAATGTCACACCCCATTTATATTTATGTTCAATTACTGTGTGTCACTTAAAAATAAATATATACACATATTTTTAAAACTCTCATAAAAATATTTGGAGAGTATTTAAGAAACACAAGGTCCACTGATCCCTCCATAAAATCTAGGTTTATGCCCAAATAAGACACAACCAGCAAACAGCAGCATATGGGACCATGGGGTCTTGGTATCCAAATGTGTCCTGAAACAGGGTAAGGACAATGACAACTACACGAGCCGTCTCAGACAGCACAGTCAGACCATGTGCTGCTGTGTGTCGTGGGCAGCACTGAGCTCGATGCTCTCCCACTGCCCTCTTCAGTCTCCTCTGCATCCCTGTGTGACACATGTGCAGGACACTGCCCTCAGGGGTAAACGCCAGGAAAGCTTCTCTGAAGAACCAGCATGCTTTCCACTGTCCTGTCACTGAACCATGTGAGTGCTCATTCCTTTTTTAAAAATGCAAGAACAAAAACATATTAACAAACAGACATAAACAAAACAACAGAAAAACAATAAAAGCAATACAGAATTCAGACACAGTTATAGGAAGTTAACAATGGTTGTTGTATTACATATTGTCATCTACAAATTGGTTACTCAGTTAAACAAATATAGGCATGTAAGATCGATCCAACAATTAAACATTAACTGTTCCTTTCCGTAAAGCAATAGAAATTAGTAGTACAATTATCTTTGCTATCTTGTCTGTACATATATACATTTTTCCCTTCTCTCTTTCTTTTCTCGTTTCTCTCATCCCAATTGTTCTTTCCTTTTGAGCAGTTTCTTGCCCTTTCACAATATTTCTTGTATCTTTCAGGCTTTATTTACTCTTTCAGGTTCTTACACTAATGAGACAATACAGTGTTTACACATGTAGGTCTGATTTATTTCACTTATGAGTATGGTCTCTAGTTGTTCTATTTACCTATAAAAGTCTCGAGTTTATCTTTCTTTACAGCTGAGTAATATTCTGCATGTTTTTCCAGAAGAACAAAAAACATCATACCACAGCGATATATGTGCACCCATGTTTACAGCAATGCAATTTGAAACACTTAAATCATGGAAGCAACCCAAATGCACATCAACTGAGGAATGGATAAAAACAATGTGGTCTTTCCTTTTTATAATGGACTCCACTCTCAGCTTTGGTCCACCCATGTCCTTGCCAACATGCTTCCTCATGGCAACTTTCCCCTCCAAGTTGAATTTTATTTTCTATTTATGACCCTTATATTCACTTAAAAGTTTCAAGGATGCTTCATTCCAAATCCAGGCAAAGATTTTGCATGTATATATTTTAATACACCTTGATGAAAAGAACACATTTCCTAAGGGAGCTTCTGCATAATGCCGAGGGCCTAGAACAAAGATGCCCAGTAGGCACTTTTTAATATAAATCTGTGTGGTTTTTCTGAAAAACGAATAAGCATCCACATTTCTATTAATAGACTATAAAATGAAATGAGACAATATTTCTGATATATGATTTTTAACTAATAGTTTTACAATCTGGCCTCAATCTTTCCTGTATTTTTGTGTTTTGTTTTGTTTTGTTTTGTTTTGTTTTGTTTTGTTTTGTTTTGTTGAGACAAGGTCTTTCTGTGTAGCCCAGACTGGCCTCCAACTCGTGGTGATCCCCTTGCTTCAGCCTCCCAAGTGCTGGGATTACAGGCCTGCACCACTACAACCAGCTGCACTGTTTTTCCATACAGTTTTTTTCAACATTACTATCAAAAAGTATTGTAACAAACTGATAAATTCATCAAGTTAATTATTAAAACTCAATCATCTAGAGAAAACTAAAGAAGGGAGCACAGTAATTTTTTGGCAAACCATTGAAAGTTGTGGGCAAAACTTATGTCTAGGAATTAAAAGTATAATAGAATGTTCAATCCCTTTATTTTTTATTTTAAAGAAAATAAACATTAGAAAAACACATTTAAAATGATACAGAATTTCAAAACAAGGTAATAGGAAATTAACAACGGTTGTCATATTGCACTGTTATCTTCAAAGCAGTTGTTCAGATTACCAGATATAAGCGTGTAAAATTGGTCCAAAAAATTAAGCATTAACTGTTCCTTTCAGTAAACCAATAGAAATTACTTGTACAATTATCTTAGCTATCGTGTGTGTGTGTGTGTGTGTGTGTGTGTGTGTGTGTGTGGTCTTTTCTCCTTTCCCTAGCACTTTCTTTCCTTCACAATATCTATTGTACCTTTTGGATTTTATTTACTCTTTTAATTTTGCATACTAGAGAGACAAGACGATGTTTACACATGGGTCTGATTTATTTCACTTATGAGTATAGTCTCTAGGTGCATCTATTTACCTATGAAAGCCTTGAGTTTATCTTTCTTTATAGCTGAGTAATGTTCCATTGTATAAAAGTACCACATCTTTTTTATATATTCTGTTGATGGGCATTTGCATTGTTTCCAAGCTTTATTTATGACAAATTGAACTGATATCAACAAGGGTGCACATATATTGCTGTGGTATGTTTTCAATTTTTCTGAGAAAATATCCAAAAGGGGAATTGCTGGGTCAAATGGGACCTCCAACCCTATTTTTGTGAAGAATCTCCACACTGATTTCCACAGTGGTTGCACCAGTCTACGCTTCCACCAACAGTACAGAATGGTTCCTTTTTCCCCATACCCCCACCATCATTTGTTATTGGTTGATTTCTTGATGATAGCCATTCTTTCTGGGGTGAGATGGAATCTCAGTGCTGTTTTAATTTGCATTTCTCAAGTGACCAATGATGTTGAATATTTTTTCATATATTTATTTGCCATTTGTATTTCTTCACCTGAGAAGTGTGTATTCATATCAGATGGCCATTTTTGTACTGGATCTTTGAATTTGGGGGGCCTGATTTTTTTAATACTTTATATGTTCTACACAGGAGTCCTTTGTCTCAGGGGCGCTTGGCTAAAATTTTTTCCAAGCTCGTGGGTTTCCTATTCAACCTGTTGGTGATTTCTTTTGATAAGCAAAGCTTTTCAATAAGATGAGATACCAGTTGTTGATTCTTTGAAGTATTTCCCATGCACCTTGGTTATTCATGAACTCTCTGCCTACCCCTATGTCTTCAAGATTTCCACCTAATTTCTCTTCCAATAGACCTAGTGTTTCTGATTTTAATATTCAGATTTTTAAGTCATTTTGACTTTATTTTGATGCATGGTGATAGGCATGGGTCTAGTTTTAGTCTGCAGCATGTGGAAAGCCAGTTTCTCTAGCACCATTTATTAAAGAGGCTATCTTTCTTTCAGTGAACTTGTTTGGCCCCTTTGTCAAAGATTAGGTGGCTAAGTGTGTTTGTGGTTGTAGCTGCATCTTCTAGTCTATTCCATTGTTACTCAAATCTGTTTTTTTTTTTTTTTTTTTGCCAGTACCATGCTGATTTTATCACAGGAGCTTTGTAGTATAGTTTCAAGTCAGGGATTGTGATGCCTCCTGTCTTACCTTTATTGCCCAGGATTGTGTTTGCTATTCGGGGTCTCTTCTGGTTCCTGATGAATTTTAGGAATGTTTTCTCTAGATCTGTGAGGTATACCAATCGTATTTTCATTGGGATTGCATTGAATCTATACAACAGTTTTGGGAGTATGGCCATTTTCACAATGTTGGTTCTTGCTATCCATGAGCAAGAAGTATCTTTCCAGTTTTTTAAATTCTCTTCAATCTCTTTTTTCAGAGTACTGTAATTTTCACTTCCTTTGTTAGATTGATTCCTAAGTATTTCAACTTTTGGATGCTATTGTGAAAGTTACAGTTTCCCTAATTTCTCTCTAAGTGTATTTGTTCTTTGTGTATAGGCATGCTATTGATTTTTGAGTGTTGATTTTGTATCCAGGTATGCTACTGAATTTGTTTATAAATTCTAGGGGTCTTCTGGTGGAGTTTTGGGGGTCCTTTATGTAGAGTAGCATGTTGCAGTAGATTGACAACTGGTGGTCAACTTATACCCCCAGTTGAACTGAGTAAGTGTGGTGCTGAGTGTGGGAGGCCCACCTGGAGACTGCTGCCAGTAGCATAAGAGGCAGAAATGGAGAAGAGAGGCTGTCGGGAGCTGAGAGAGGCTGTGAAGAGCCATTGGTTGTTTTGGAAGAGCTTGTCATGCTGGCTTTCCTGATGAACTTGGCTGTTTTCATCCTCTGAGGAGCTCAGGACCTCGTTGGCACTGAGAATGGCTTTGGTTCACTTTGGGGGAGCTCTGGTCCTCACTTTGAGCATTGCTCTCTGGCTCTAGTGCAGATCCCTCAGTGTACTAGCACAGATCCTTCATCCCACTGGCACAGACTTCTTAGATTCCACCACTGACCTTTGGGCCTTCCCAGCACAGATCTGTGAAACAGGCCTGCATGAGACCTTGTGGTAGGCTCTGGGCCTCCAGCTGGATTTGTGGGAGGCACTGCCATGAGCTCTAGGTATTCAGCTGTCCTCATGAAGGACATTTCTGTGGGATCCAGGCCCTCAGATTGATTCTTTGGTCTTACTGTGTGGACAGATTTCCTGCACTCTTCTGTATATCATTGTTTGGGTGACTATTATAAATAATCATATAAAATATGTATTGTATTGTTTCCCTTGCAAAATATCCCCCAAACTAACAGAAAATTGGTACCAGGAATGGGGTAAGGTAAGACTCAAGGCTCTATATGCCTTGAATCAGTGTCCACTATATGGTACTGTGTCCCACACTGCCAGGATTCATGGGTCCAGGAATCAAGGGGTAGAAGTAGGAATGGTACCACTCACCATTACCCCTAGTGATCCACTAGCAAAATTTTTGCTTCCTGTCCCCATGACCTTATGTTCTGCTGGCTTATAAATCTTAGTTCCAGAAGGGGTAAAGATTACACCAGGAAGCACAACAATGGTACCACTGAACTGGAAGCTAAGATTTCCCCCTGGTCATTCTGGTCTCTTCATGCCTCTGAGGAAACAAGCTAAAAGAGGAATCAGTGTTGTCCGGCGTGACTGACCCAGATTATCAAGGGGAAATTGGACTACTACTCCACAATGGAGGAAAAGAAGAATATATGTGGAGTGCAGAAGATCCCTTAGGGTGCCACTTAGTATTATCTTGCCCTATTATTGAAGTCAATGGAAAACTACAACAACCTAATACAGGCACAATGACAAATGGTCCAGAGCCTTCAGGCATGAAGGTATGGGTCCCTCCACCAGGAAAAGAACCAAGACCTGCTGAGGTGTTTGCTGACGGTCAAGGGAATACAGAATGGGTAGTGGAAAAAGGTAGTTCTAAATACCAGCTATGACCCCGTGACCAGCTACAGAAAAGAGGATTATAATGGTACTATTCCTCCCCTATATGGTACTAATGTAATATAACGTTGATAGACTGAATACTGGTTCTTCAGGATTGTTAAACCTGTGTTATAATGTTCAAGTTATGAAATTGTAA